TGCATACACCATGGCAAGCAAGGCGGCTAACGCCGAACTCACTCACAATAAGATGCATGACTTCAATTCCAGTCCCAGTTCTCGCTAATGTTGGAAGTTGACTCTTTGGCAGGAGATTGGGAACCTTCCAGAGACACACACGGCTACTAACCACATGGGGCTTCACCGTTTCCTAAGAAAGGACGTTAAAGGCTCCTGCTGGTTGAAAATTACCAGTTAATGACCAGGAACTTACAGAAACTGCAAATGCAACCAGTTGTCAGTCATCGAGTCATATCGAATCAAATCGAATGTTCTTGTCCTGACACGGCCACTCCCACCCGCGGTTGCCGCCTGTAGACTGCAAGAACCTGCGGTGTTCATGGGATTTCGCGCTGAAAACTTCATTTGCAGGAAACTAGGGATACTTGGAAACAAAGGATGATAAAGGATGTCGGGTGAATGTACAGTAAGCCCTGTGAAGGTTCTTTGAATGGCGATAGCCTGGAGTTTTCCTTGACGTCAGAGTGTAGCAGCAAATTGGTAGGTGTGCAGGTCTATTCTAAACCTTCTGCCTTTCTGCCTTTTGGTGATGAACCTTGATGCATGTGGAGGACGGCTTCCCTCCACGCGCTTGGACTCAAAAGGCACTGCAACGTTCTTCATTGCAAGAGACTGCACCCACCCACATAACCCTTAGCCACATGGTCTCTCCGAAATCGGCTCTGGAGGACCAACTATGGAGGTTCGGAGACTTTTGCACCCCAAAAACTAATCCCAAAACGAGCGTTTCGGGATGCCGAACGTCCTCCCAAAACTGGATCAGACGTCCGAAAACCGTCTAAAGAGATGATGGTCGAGTCGGCTGGGTCCGGTTCGGTTTCTCACTGAGTCAAGGAGTCGGACAGCTTCATCCTGGTTCCTCTCTTTTTCCGAGTCCAGGGTAGCATGGATCCCTATCCTTCATCCTCAAGTCCTGTGGATCCAATGGATTTGGGAGATCAGCGGAATTGGATGGATTTGGGAGATCAGCTCCGCTCGGCGGAGAGATATCTCCGGCAAAAAATCCTTAGTAGCTAAGAAGCTACTTTTCCACACGCAAGGTGCACCTTGCTAATGTAAACTCTTGAGGACCATAAACCCCCCCCTTTGAAGAGGATGTTCAATTCAAATGGGGTGGTGTATTAATCCAAAACCGGGATCTGATCCTTCCAATCTGCCTTCAGCGATCCGATCCGCGCGACAGACCGACGCGAACCGCCCGACAGACCAATCGGCCTCTCAGGTGTCGCTTCCTTCGCTTCCGTCGCTTCCTTCGGTGCGAAGGTGAAGTTCGAAGCAGAAGAATTCGACGTCCATGGAGCACCGAAGCCAAAGAGACAACTTGGAAACAAAGACCGCAAGCCGAGGAGTTGAAGAGATGGAGAAAACCCAAAAGAAGGCGAAAGACCATGCTGGGCCCCGCCCAGCCTGGCACCCGAGTGAAAACACTTGTAGATTTTAAATTAGATTTTGGGTTCTCAGCTCTTCAGTAATCTTCAGAACTTCAGAAACTCTCTTCAAACGCCGTGGACGAAAAAAAAAAGGAGCGGAAGCAAAAACGGAGCTGCCGCCTTGCCTCATCTGCAGCTTTCAAGCTCTCAATCCGGCTCTTGAGAGCCTGGCTCCCACGGAAGCATGCGTTTGGCACGAAGGTCCTATATACTAGGTCCAAGTGACAACGGAGTAAAGGAGTTAGCGCACAAATCCTTAGTCTCAAGAACCCGGTAATATTATTTGTCCAATGGAAACGCGTGAGAAAACCACCTGCGGAACGAAGCGGATCCGGACGCCCTCCTCGAGGCCGGGGCCGGCCGAAGCGCCGGAAGCGCCGGAGCCGGGCGCCCGGAGGAACGCCTGGATCCGGGAGCGAAGATCATGGTCTTCCGGATCCTCCGACCTGATGCGTCGAGAAGAAGGTGCATGGAAAGGAGGTTAGATGGCGGATGGGGAGGCGTGGAGAAGGCATGATGGGGGATGGGTGGAGAGTCGGCGAAAGCAAGGTTTCATCGAAAGAAGCTTTGAATGGAATGGTGAGAATAGCATGATAGTGCGTGTCGTGTTTTTAGCTTTCTTAGCCTGGTTCTATTCCAAAGAGTGGCTTCCCGTTTGAGGCACAACACACACAGAGAGGTGATTCGGCATCACCATGGCTCCATGTAAAGATCGCTTCCAGATTCACTGCCATGAGGCTACCCTCCCTTGGCCATATAGTAATTTCAACATATTCTAACATTGATTGACTCTGGTTGGTCAAGCCGTCAGACATCATGGAGGGTTTGTGCTCAGAACCCTGAACTCTTCTTTCAAGGGTTGAAGTGAAAGTCGTGCAAAGACCACAATGAGGCAATCAACAAGAGTGTGCCATTGTCAAGTAAGAGCCATGTTGGCCATGTGGGGAAAATAACATTTGCTCCTTCCTCTCTGGGATCGTGCAGGTAATAGGTTGGGCTACTTACACATGTGTCTACTTCATTATGTATATACTGAATATACTGTATATGATGTGTATTATATTATAATATGTCGTCTTTTTTGGCCTAGACAGAACTGTGCAACTAACATCAACTAGATATGCCACCAAACATACCCTTTGGATGTGCCACACACATTTCTTGACGTAGGGCAACTGGGTGAAAGTAATCAGAGAGTGAGAAGAGACAGACATGTGTAAGTGAGATTCTGTGCTGGCGTTCTCTTCAGATCAATCAAAGCTAGACTTCTGATGTTTTGGGGCTCCCGAACTCAGATTGCTCATACTTCTCCTGCAAAACATCTTGCTGCGCAGGCCAGTTGCATCTCCAAGCCGCTGCAATCAGGAATTGAAAAAGACATAACTCCTGTACATTGCTGGTTTATGCTGGTTCTCATCCAAGAAAGGACAATAAGACATAATAAGACTATGTTGAGGAACATCTGTAGCACCTGTATTCTCCGCACTCCCTCACCCTCAGGCTCGTGGCAAGTCTACAGTACAAGCTGCAGTCAGAGAAAAAAACCATCCCACCTTCCAATCCCCCAGTTTCTCCTAGATACACACCACCAATCCCCCACACGTCTTACACCACACCGCACCGTGACTCCCCGCACCACGACCCGACCTTCTCGCCCCAGCGAGTCCGAGTCGAGCGAGCTTTCGGCCAACGAGGCGACCCAACCGAGGCGACCCAACGGCCTTTCAAAGGTCCAGCCACGAACGCCGGGCCTTTTGGTTCGAGGAACAAAAGGAAAAGAGTCACGGCCCCGGGTGGGGAGTCACGGCCGGGCGGCTTAGTTTAGAAGCTTTTTGAAGGTTGGTGTTAGTTCTCTACCCGGGGCCCGGGCCCTGGGTGTAGGGAACTCATCGGAACGCAGCAACGCAATTTAAAATGGGTAGACTGGTGGGAACCGAACACTCCCTAGGAGACACACATGTAGTTTACACAGTTATACAATGATACAAGCTACAGCCTTAACTTTCATGGTGGAGTCGGAGTGAACCCGAATTTTTACGGAAAGACCAAGAGCATTCCGCTCGCGAAGTCGTATGGACAACACTTTGGAGATCTTTGGAGTATCCATCCAACATCATCCAACATTTCACACCGGTTCACTCCCGACCGAAAGGTTTCTTCGGTCCCGATGACCACCGGCTCCTTGGTCTCTGCGCTAGCCTGGGCATTGCCTTCGGCACCTGCTAGCTGAGCCCTGAGCTCCTGCACCGGCACAGGCTACCCTGTGCTCAAGTGTGGACTGATCGTTCGATTCAGGGGCAGAGGTAGTAGAGGTGCTAACGGCATTAGCACTCCACTAGCAGTCTTTCTCCTTCTTGTTGGTGCTGGTGCCTTCCAAGTTGTTCTGTCCCAGTCGAGGTTTGGGCCTTTGGCAAAACCGTTGAGCGGGCAAACCTCTGGACGTGTGACATGGCACACGCGTCACGTCACCGACTGGACTGCATGGCTTTGCATGAGTTGAAGCCATTGTGCAAAGACCTCCGCAGGTCCGCAAGCAAGATGGGTGTGTATTGACCCATATGGGAGACCCCCGATCTGGCTGGGTAGATTAGTCTATTTTCCGAACCGAACCCCAAAGGCTCGTTGACTGGGAGGTCTCCCGGTTTGGTCTCATGCACACAAACACTCATCTGGTTTTGTGAGTAGTCCACTCTCTTCAACCTCCTCATGGATACCGTGAATGGCATGGCCGCTGAAAAGACCATTTCCTCTACAAACAAGGGATTGTCCACTTCCATGTTGCAGGGAGGGTAATTTGTGCAAGGAAAAACATGGTTGGACCATCTCCAGTGGTGTCTGGCTTGCTGAAGCAAAGGTGCCTGAAAGACATGGTGCACATCTGCCTTCATGTTCCGATTGCTTTTCAGGCCTTATCCACAATTGTATCTGTTTGGGACGAAACCCACCCCTTTCAATATACCCGAAACTGGTGTCTGGTGCCTTACGAGATGGCGTGAATAACCAAACACGTCCCTCGGATTGTTCTTAATCAATCCACAGGTTGCTGGTAGGTGCTATGGGTTGCCGGCAGACTGATCTGGTGAAATATCCTATATACTGCAAGCGAATCATCTCACACCAAACTCATATATATATATATATATGTCTCGTTCGAGACTGACAAAGGACGCTTGAGGCCTCATGTACCCTTGCATTGCCCAAGGTCCAGCCCAACACAGAGATACCAAAAGGCCAGTGGTGTAGGTGAAAAACCCTGCAATTCAACCAGCATTGCCGAATCGTTTGTGCAACTGGCCCGATGGCCCGAAAAATCCGAAGACGCCCCGACCTTCACCTGCACGTCAAATGTCTGAACCTGCGGTCACTGGTCGACAATCAGAGCTACTTCAACTGGTTGTTTTTCAGGAGTCCTCCCAGTTTCTCTGTTCGAAACACTTGGTGGGCCGAACGCCTAACTCAATAGAGAGCATTCAACGTGTTTCTCGTGTTCTGGGTGGGGAACATTGTGGATATGCACTTTGACATCTGTCAATGAAAAGAACCCTGAGTAATTACGTAGCTCAATTCACTTGGAATGGCCAACATCTCGCAAGTCCTTTTCTCCCCTTTCTCTTCATCAGATGTTCTACGATGTTCTCCGATGCTTCGATCCAACGACTGAACCATCCATGGAGTGAATTGAGCCGTTCGCCTGTGCATGGAACCCGTCGACCAACAGTCTTCGGCCACACCCCACAACAACACTCATCCATCGACTCCGGTCTAACACGAACGTGAGCATGAGCGGAGCGGGGCCGATGTGTTCCTGACAGGGATACTGGTCTGGCCGATGTCAGTGTGATGTCGGATTGATAAAAATCTGCCAAGCCATTGACAAAGTGGAACGACTGTCGAGATGCTTTTCCCGGAAAAAGCGTTGACCAGGATTTGGTTCCAGGAACGCTGTTGACGCAAGTGGTAGGCTGAGTGCAGATGGAGGACCGATGGTGTCTCGCGCAAGGGCCGTGCGTCCCTGGTCTGGGCGCATGCATGCTGGACCTGTACATATACCAATGTTTGTTTCGCTGGAGGAGCCTCAAAAGAACTGTAATGCCGATGTTTTTGCGGAGAAATCGGAACGCCAGAAACCACTGTCTTTATCAAGTTATTTGTTGTATTGCGCGCTCTCAAAAACAATGAACATCGATGTTCTAGCACCTGGGCAAGAACTTCGACAGCGTTAGCGATGTGAAAGAAAAGACTCCAAGCTCGTTCACCACCAAAATTGTTTGGCAACAATAAAATAAACTCTGACGAAGTGAGGCACTATCATTTTCTAAGCTTGGGAGAATAAGTTTGTAGTCCACTAAGCATGGCAAGAAACCAAAACAAAAGCAGTTAATAGGGGGCTCGGATAGATATCACACAAAGAACAATTTTGCACACCGACAACCCCCTAAGGGCCACGGAGAATTACAGCTGCGTGTGCGAATGTGAAGCCAGCCCTTGCGGTCACTGGCGGACAAACGAGCTCGTCCCCCACATGCACTGCCCCGTGATCCGTGTCACACACATGGCAGAAGCCACCGCGTTCGTCATCTGAGCAAACTGAAAAAAATGTGGCCCTTGGATTTGGTTCACAGCCGCGGCCACATTGATGCAGTCTTCACACAAACATCAATGTTCTGCAACAAATATCCACAATAGGCTGTAAAAACAAACATCGCAAACTCCAACATACGAACCCAGAGCACGAAGCCAAGCCGCACTCATAGCGCCGCATACACCAACTCTGGCAATCCGGGTCGATGTCGGAGCTCAACATGAGCTGATGTGGGAGCCCAAGGGACTTCCTGCGCTTTCATGTGTTGAACAATGTGAGATAATGTGAGCATGCACGCCCTTCCTCGGTTGCTAAAGAACACTTTCTCAAAGGACACCACAGTTGAGACTCAGCAAGAAATAGCCACTGTCAGGGCGAATCTGAGAATCTGAATGTTGAATATTGGCCCGCTATGGATCTCTGGCAGCACAACCGTTAGGCTTCAAAAAGTGTTTCTGTCACTGCCGCCGCGTGTGAGAAGGAAGTCCTATATGGATGAAACTCGCAAACGATCACATCAATACAAAGGACGTGAAGGCATGGCGCGCTGCAACATGTTCAAAACCAAAGGACCCAGCACCCTCACAGGGGCCCCAAATCTTGAAAATGGGCCAAGCAAGTAGATTGACCTGGACACGTTCCAAACAGAAAAATGACCCCTGAAAGACCCATCCTGTGCACCTGTGCACCTTTCACTCTTTCAGTCTGTGCTGTATTGTAGAACTGTAGAACCCAAAACTGAGCTCCTCGAAGACTAAAGGTTCTGTCATTCAATATCATTCAATCATTTATTGAGTACTTAGTACTCAGTACTAATAATGGTATGATGCCATGCAAATGACCCGGCTAAGAAACCATTGAGCGTGGCTGACTGGGGAAGCTGCAGCCATTGCTTGTCTCTACACATTGAAGAATCCGTGTGCTCAACAAACCTTACACAACAAAGCTGTACAATAGCAGTTTGTATCAGTTTGTATTTAATTTGCTGCACCCAGATTGAATGCCAAGTATAACACCCCGGCCTGTTCACAAGGCTGTCAGGTCCATCCCAGCACCTATTCTCAGTCTCGCTGACAATGCGCAAAGTCCGTTTGCTCATCGACATAGGGAATTTGGGTTTCTTGCATGGCAAAACAGAATCTCACAGAGTTGAATCGTTCTTTCTCCACTCAACCTTAACATATCACCTTTTGTGGTTTGGTTAACTCATGGGACCTGCGAGACGCAGCGTGATATTCTGCGCGTGCTTGGAGATGGAAAGCTCTTGGCAGGCTGCTGTCCCTCTTCTCCACTCATCATCAGCGTCTTCATCACATCTGAGTCTTCACACTGCTCACTGGCCACGCAAGCGTAGCCATTCCCCATAGACACTTCCTGTTCCTTTTCCTCCTCCAGCACCTCTTCCAAACCCACATGGGGTCCTTTAGGACTCTTGTCCGTGTCGGTGTGCGCGCGCGCACCAAAAGCATGCTGTAGAAGGGAATCTTTTTGGTGCGCGCAAGGCAACAACACCAACAACAACAACAACAACAACAACAACAAGAGGGTACAAACAAAAACTGCAGCCACGACATATGAGCGAGCGGCAAAACTCTTGTGTACTTTGTGGTGATTCCGGCAGTAGGTATCGGTTTTGGTAGTTCGCTATATCGGTTTACAATGTTTGGGGCACATGTTATGGAATAGGGACCTGACAGGAGAATAAAATGCAAGCGGTGGCATGCTTGTGACAAACTCTGTTTCTTTCAGATCTGTTTCAGATCCACTGTCTGCAGGTGCTGCGCGTTTGCTTCAGCACCTCTCTTTCACCTTTTCAAGGCGTTTTTCATCCCTTGAAAGAAAAAGTCATGGGATGAAGCTCTGTTCATGTTGACAACTTTCATTTCTCTGGGGTATCGGTCCTCATCGGTCCGCAAAAGGAAAATTAAATGCCCAAATGACCGACCCCGGGAGGCAAACTGTTTCACGGAAGGTACGGCCAAGGGACTGACTTCCACAGTTTCCGCCGCACAAGGTTCACTTCGAGTGTATCCATATACCCTAGGTATCGGTTTTGGTAGTTCGCTATATCGGTTTCCATACTCTTCTGTACATGTCCAACAAAAGTTCCCAAAATGAACATTTTCCTACACAGACCTTTTTGCACCTCTCTCATATCTTCTTCCTTTGTCTCTACAAGGGGGTGGAAACAAAAACTGCAGCCCGTCGTTGTTCTTCGACCTCCCCCGAAAACAACCAGCCAACAAGTAACTTTATCAGCAAAGTGGTAGTGTTTGTACTTTGTGCTAGTACCAGTGGCACTAGTACTAGTACTAGTACTACTCGTCGTAGTCATAGTCGTCGTAGTCGTATAGTAGTCGCAGTAGCCGTAGTAGTCGTAGTTGTCGTCGTCTAGTCTAGTCTGGTCTAGTATAGTATAGTATAGTATGGTATATTATAATATAATATGGTAACAGTATTAGTATTGGTATTAATAGTATTAGTATAGTATAGAAAAGTATAGTAAAATATAATATAGTATAATATAGTATAGAAAAGAATAGTGTAGTATAGTATAGTAAAGCATGGTATAGTATAGTTTAGTATAGTAAAGTAAAGTACAGTATAGTATAGTATAGAGACTAGCATGATACCACGAGATAAATTTGTCTCGGGGCTGAGGTCCGCCGGGGGTCGTGGTTGAGGTAACCTGGTCGTGGTAACTGACCCCTCTCGTGGTAGAGGTGACCTGGTCGTGGTACAGGAAACCTGGCCGTGGTATATGGCTAGTTCTAAAGTATAGTATAGTATAGTATAGTATAGTATAGTATAGTCTTAGTATAGTAAAGTACAGTATAGTATAGTATAGAAAAGTACAGAATAGTATAGAATAGAGAAGAATAGAACAGAATAGTGTAGTGTAGTGATAGTGATAGTGATAATGACAATGATAATGATAATAAGATAGTGATAGTGTAGCGTTAGTAGTAGTCGTCGTCGTAGTAGTCGTCGTAGTAGTCGTCGTAGTAGTCGTCGTAGTCGTAGTAGTCGTAGTAGTCGTAGTAGTAGTCGTCGTAGTAGTAGTACTACTAGTAGTAGTAGTAGTAGTGGTAGTGGTGGTGGTCGTAGTCGTAGGAGTTCTTGTTGTGGTAGTCGTAGTCGTAGTCGTAGTCGTAGTCGTAGTAGTAGTAGTGGTAGTAGTAGTAGTAGTA